TATATATCACTATTTTACTTAACCTTGTTAAGACCAGGCTCCATATGGCAAGGCTGTGGATTCATCCCTAAGGATCACACCAACCCTTACAAAGAGTTGTAACTACATGCTGTTATGGTTTGGACATGAAGTAACCCTGCAAAGGCTCATGTGTTGAAACACTGGTACATGGCTGCTGGTACTATTTTGGGAGGTTATGGAAGCTTTAGGAGATGAGGGCGAGCTGAGCCCCCTTTGGGGATTGTATTTTTCCCCATCCTGCCCCACATCATGGTGACTCCTGTCCACCAGGAGGTGAGTAGCCTTTCCTCAAAGAAGAATAATGTTATGGGGCTGGCTATGATTTTTAGCACCTGTAGCAGGGACGCTGTGGCACAAATTGATGCTCTAAGTACCATGACTCTCTCTGTGTCCTACATTATTAACCACAGGCCCCCTGAACCTGTGAGCCTGGATCTCCTCACATGGGCGGCTTCTGAAAGGACTGTCTGGCTCCCTGACTGCTCATGCCCCATGGCTTGTTTCAGAAAAAGTTCATTTAACATTAAAACAGGACAAGCATTGTAAAAAAGATCAGATGGTAGAATGAGCTCAAGTTTGTGCTTCAAGGGGACAGACAGAAGGGTAGGGTCACTGGATCTGAAAGGATGGTGTCTCATTCTCTCTATCATTTATATCCGGTCTCATTCTAAAAGGATTTTGTGGTGGGACTTGAAAGAAATATATTTGAAATTGAGTTTAATAAGACATTGATTTACATAAAAGACAAGTGTAGTAAAACAGAAATATAGAAACGTGAAATTATTTTCAAATACTTTGGAATTTAGGTTAGGACTTTTTTCCTAATATTATTACTGAAAATTTCTGGTACAATTGCAAAGATTAAATAATGACGCATTGTGAAAAATATCTGTTTAAATCAAACAAGAATCACTGTTCTGTGAATAGGGTTACATCTGCAACCATGAAGGATTTTTTTTTAAAGATACAATTAAAATAAAACCATTTTCCTAGTGAAAATACTACTGTGATTGGACATCCTGGGGTGAGCACCTCAGGGAACAGGGTCTGGGGCAACTTGAAGAAGAGCTTCAAGTTCTTAGGGCTACAATGATCCAGTTTCACAATAGGGCCCTCTGAGGACACGATGAGCCTCACCGTGGCAGCAGGCTTCCAAGAGAAGGAGGAAATGAAGAGGATTTTCCCCCTCAAATATCAGAAAAATATTTGACAGAAAAACAGTTTGAATATGGAATTTCTGGTGTGTGTGTATGTTAAGAAATATTCTGAAAGTATTATCTGTGATCGGGACCAATAATGTAGACTATCAATTTCCCACAGTGATGAACTCGCAAAAGAAACATATTCCTACAGCCAGTCACTTCCCTTATTAAAGAGACGAGAATTTGTTAGTCACTGAGCTAAAGAACAGCCGTAATAGGGAAGCACCACAGAACAGTAGCTACGTACAATGGCCCGGAGCTCCCCGCAAGTGTCTGTGGCACCTGAAACATTCCCCTTGCAGGTTTAGAACCTCAGATTCCGGTCATCCTTTGGGCTTTGCTCTGGTCCTCTTTTCATACAGGATACGAAAGATACTTAGATTTAAGTTGCAGATTTTACTACGAGACAACAGCATGAACACACTGTTGAACCAGTTACCTACCCCCAGATGACAGGACAGGAGAAAGGACATGTGGGCGGGTCCAGACTCCATGATGATCAAGGTCAGAAACAAAGGTTTCCAAGAGAGAAAGTCAGGGAGGGAAGCTTTACAGTACAGCAGTGGGGATGTGAACATACTACGTTGTAGGTTTACAGGAAGGTTACTGAGAAAATATTTGTGAATCACAGACTAGAGAAGCACTGACTAAGACTTTCGGAGTGGCTATTCTCTGTTCCATGTTTTTGGCCCCAGTTTCCCCCAATCTCTCTCACATTGCCGCCTCTGTCATTGCTAAGTCTATCTTTAGGTCCCACAAGATGAGCTCGGATCTAAATAGAGTGGATAACTGAGACTTTCTTTTATGAGCCTTAATTGAACCAAATGCACAGTTTTTAAAAAAATAAATGCATGGATATTTGATGCTGCCACATGGTAAAAACTATGAATTATGAATGGATACTACTTAAATAAGTACTTTTATGTAGGACTGCTGTTACTAGGCAGTAAGAGATTAAATGACTAAAACCGAGTTTTTAATTTCCTCAGAGTGTAATCATCTTGCTTTGCTGTGTACATGCACTGCACCGTCTCAGACGATTTGGGGGAGACAAAACACAGAAAACTGACCCTCCTCTTAAAGGACAGCTAAAGAGCTTCTGAGTATTCCATGACTTCCCAAACTCGATAGATGCAGTAGTAACTTAGTGAGAGTATAAAAGGTGGTGACTCTGAACACCACGCTTGTCTGCAGTAGGGGTTAGCTACACATGTGGCTGTATATTTGAGATGGTTTTCCCACATGTACAATGAACAGATCCTATTGCAAAATTTTCGTGCTGGGTTCCACTAAATTACCAACTTATTTACATGGCTGTCAGGGACTAGCTTCAAATGTTGACGTATCCCACGTGCCTGAGAGGCATGGAATTTTTAAGTTAGCAATGGAAAAGAAAATGAGATTCACAGAGTTTCAGGGAAATCGCACTGCCAACAGGCAAGCCCGTGTCTACTGCCTGCCAACGGATTGCCAAAGACTTGCTGCATAGCTTTGTGGGGTAAACATTCATTTGAGCATGTCTGTGTTTCTCAAAGCTTGGAAAGCAATATTTTCCAAAAGCTCTATCAACCAGCGTATCTATTTTTAATCAGTACTTACCATCCATAAGTAACTGAAAATTGTTAATGATAAATTACTAATCTTTAGTAATTAACAATAGGAAAAGCCCAGCTTCTGTAGTTTTTGAAATGAAAGAGATGTTAAAACATTCTAAACCATCATATCTCAGTAGTGCTTTTAAAAATTTCACCTTCAATCAATGTATAAATAGCAGACCAAAGTTTTGCAGGAGAATCTAGAGGTAGAAATACTATTAAGAAAAAGAATAAACTTGTAACCTACTAATGTAGTCAAGGACTATTAAAAAAAGTTTACAGTTTAATTATGGGAAGCTTCTAGGAGGGCTTCAGCACTCCTCTGTGACGTAAGCGAGCTGCGCGTGCGAGAAGCAACACGTGGGGCAGGGAGCAGTGTGAGAGCAGTGCGACTATGGGTTTGGAGCTCCACACAGATGCCACCATCAACCGTAAACATGCTGCTCCTTAACCCTCCTCCAACTCACTCCCTCATTTCAGGGCTTAAAAGACATTTGGCTCCTGGGATCACTCACCGTTCATATTCTTAAAGATGTTCAGGATGGGGAGGATTTGACGATAGTAAGGCACCAAAGCCTCACCCACCATCTCAGCTGACACAACCAAATGCTGGAGGACTTTGAGGGTGACACAGATGACCTGTCGGTTTCGAAGGTTCAAGGCATCTGCACAAGATAGAAAAACAAACAAGTAGAAAATACCGAGTGTGAATTCAATGACGTTAAGGTCAAGCTGTCTTGTGGATGCACTAATTAAACTGCTCTATTGGGGATCACCAGTGGGCCTTATTTTTATAGCTTTGATGGATGCACCACAGCCCTGGGCTGGGAGCTGCATCTGGTTTCTGTACTGGTTATCCTCCCAGCTTGGGCTGGCTCCTGGCAACCATGACAAGGCTGCTCATGTTTTCATCCAGAGAAGAGGCTGGTGGTCGGAAGGCGGAGTGAGAGGAGGTGGTGTGGAGGGTTAAAGATCTAGTGTCACTGGCTCAGATGCCCTCCCAACATGGTGGCGATAGGTATGTGTTTATGAAATGATCTCTTTCAGCTGATAGTGCCTATTATTTTTTTCTTTTTCTTCCTTTACCCCCTCCCTGCCTGTATATGTGTGTGTTTGTGTATGTGTACATGTGTGTACATGTGGAGGCCAGAGATCAATTCCAGGTGTCTTTTTTATTGAGCTCCATCTTGGGTTTCGAGACAGTCTCTCACCGAACCTGACTAGCTGACCAGCAAGCCCCAGGGATTGTCCACCTCCTCGGTGTTGAGGTGCACACCACTCTGCCTACTTTTATTTTCTGAGGCAGGGTCTCACTCTGTAGTTTGCCTGGCCTGAATGCTGTATGTAGAACAGGCTGTGTAAACTCAGAGAGCCGATGTTTCTGCCTCCTCCCGAATCCTGGGATTAAAGGCATGGCATCATGCCCACCTATGCCTGATTTTTTGCATAGGTGTTGAGGATCCAAATTCAGGTCCTTATCACTGTGCAGCAAATACTTTACCAACTGGGCATCTCCCCAGCCTGGATTCTCTGCTATTTTCTAAAGCCATTACCATGGAACAAATCTTTACTTGGGCGAGAGGTCTGGCCTTGGTATGCATGTGGAGAGACAATAAATTGGTGACCAAAACTGATAATATTCTTGGTTGAACACAGTGACAGTACGTAGAGGAAAAGTAGAAAATTTAAAGTCAGTCAGAACCAACAAAAATAAACCATGAGACCAAAGGAATGAAAACAAACGTCAAAGAATAGATCGAAGTACAAAGTAACAAGCTTACCACGTGAAAGGACAAAAGGCAATGAACTGCCAGGCAGACCCTTCTTCGGGGCTGAAAGACGCCCTTTGCTCTAGTGGGGAATCAGGATGTGGATACTGACTGTGTGAACTTGGCCAGCTCATTGACACTTTCTTGGCTGTGGTTTCCTCCATCACCGGCCTGTTATTTGCTAAGATGAGTGCGTTGAAATGATTGACCAAGAAGGTACACAACATATCTATTACAGAAGGCCAGAGGTTGGTAGAGGGTGAAGCCCTTAACTACTCCAAAATACAAGTCAAGGGCTCTTATTTTAAGATGTTCTACCGCCTAATGCAGCAGGATTGGCCATGTCCTGACAGCACATGGTGTTGGTGGAGGGATGGAATCAAACAGACTATCAAAGGGATGATGCTCTCGTCATACTGTGAGGAGCCCCAGCAGTGTTCTTGAACTCCAGATCACATTTCCAACCGCTCTGGTCTAGCAAACACATTAAACTCAGTGTTTATCAAAGACAAATTTCCCTCTATGAATGTCCTCTTCACTCCGTTTCCTGTATTTTTGCACTGATACAACCTGGCTGGGTTACTGTCTCTCAGGTCGAAGCCCTTTTTCCATCTCTCTCATTCCCATTGTTACACAGTCATCTGTTTATCCACTGGAGTGTCTTATCTTTGAACCCTCTTTGCCTACTTTCCTCGGGGCTTGGATCTTGCTCTCACTTTTGTCCTCTTGTTCTAGATCTTGATCCCCACCCCATCCACTTTGGTACCAGACCCTCACCCACACCTTCTTTCCCTTGGTTCTAGGTCTTTGCCCTCACCTCACCCCTCTGGCCCTAGGTTGTCATTTTCACCTTCCCTCCCCTGGTCCTGGTCTCCACCTCACTGTCTCCCCTGGTCCTGGTCTCCACCTCACCGTCTCCCCTGGTCCTGGTCTCCACCTCCCTTCTCCCCTGGTCCTGGTTGCCACGTCACCTTCTCCCCTGGTCCCGGTCTCCACGTCACCGTCTCCCCTGGTCCCGGTCTCCACCTCACCGTCTCCCCTGGTCCTGCTCTCCACCTCACCGTCTCCCCTGGTCCTGGTCTCCACCTCACCGTCACCCCTGGTCCTGGTCTCCACGTCACCTTCTCCCTGGTCCTGGTCTCCATCTCACCCTTTCTCTAATCCTCTGCCCTGTCTTCCCTCACTGCTACTAGGTAAACTTTTTAGATTTCCTTTATTATCTAACCATCTGCTCAAAGATCCTGGTATTGTCCCTCCCCTTCCCCATTTCCTACAGAGTGAAGGACAAATTATCCAGACACAGGGAGGCATCAGGGTAATTTTAAACTAAACCAAATCCTTAGTAAAAAGGCCAAGAATATAAAATACCACTTAGTGGTTTCACAGCTCCTTCCTTTGGAAACACTAGGAAGTTTTTAAAAATAAAGTTCAGGTCAGCTTCATTCTCTCAAGCAACAAACTGGGGGTTGGAGAATAAGCATACTTCAGAGAAGCCCCACAACTTCTGGTCTAGTCAAGGCTTGGTTGACTTGAAAGTAAATGAAAATGAACAAAGATGCTCAGCCTTAGCTCCAGAAACCTTCCTAAATGTAACCACGGGACTCAGTAACATGATGCCTGTTATTACAGCTTTCACACACTTTGCAGGTCATACTGTATCTTCTGAAAACAACAAAAACAGAATGTTACAGTTTCTTCTACAAGCTTTGGAAAACAAGGCAGTCAAGAACAGAGTCTTGGCACTGGTGGAGGAAGGCTGTGAGCACGGTTTGTGCATGGTCAACTGGTCTTATCCACTCTGAGAGGGTTGTTTTGCTGTCCCAGGAAGCGCAGGGCTACAGAACCTTCCTTGCTGACCCAGCTCAGTGTAGCAGAGAGAGCTGGGAGCCTGCAGAAAGGCTGTACTGTTTGCTGGGATAGCAGATGTTCTTTCAATCAGTCTGTCCATGAAATACAACATGTTTAGTTCCAGAATGGCACAGTACTGGGTGACACATCACGTTAGCAGCTACGTGGTATTAAGCACCTCTTTATGCCAGGAACTAACAAAACACCGCATACAGCTTAGATTACTAACCCTCCTTCATCAACTGCTTACTGAGAGGGTGCTGTATGCTCCCCACAATTCTATGAATTGGAAAGACTGAAATGAACAGGACATATGCTAGCACCCTCTTGGAGATTGTAATATATTATGGAAAAAAGATACTAAGCACATACCACAAAAACAATGCCTGTTCCTGAGAAGACATTAATCACGTGGTTACTCAGTCCATCTGGATCAGGGAAGGCTCCTAGATATAGGGGCAAAACCCAGGAAACCAACAGATGCTATTTAGCTGAAGAGTTTGCAGGGTGGTACCGAGACTGGACCCCCAAGGGGGAAAGAGTCTGTTCCAGCTGTGAGGCTGAGAGTCCACTGGGGCATTCAGTCACCACCACAGACAGCAAAGACATGAACTAGTTTATTACAGTTGGAAGTGGTGACAAGTAGGTGGGTTGTGTAGGGATGCATGAAGGGAAGTCAGGGCTGTGGTTCTTATTCTCAAACTAGAGGATCCTAAGATCCTATCTTACTTCCCTCCCACCACATTTTCCAAAAAGGCCTCACAGCCACAGTAACTGTCCACTTTGTGGGCTGTTTTTCTCAAGAAATCAAAAAAGGGAGGGGCCTGGAGAGATGGCTCAGCGGTTAAGAGCAGTGCCTGCTCTCGCAGAGGACCCAGGTTCAAGTCCCAGCAACCACATGGTAGGGTAGCTAACAATCATCCATAACTACAATTCCAGGGGTTCCAATATCCTTTTTTGACCTCTGTAGGCATCATACAGTATGGGTGCACTTACATACATGCAGGCAATACACGCATACACATACAATAAAACAACAACAACATATTGCACAGCCAAAAGTAGAGAAGCCTGTGGGGGCCTCAGATGGATAACTATCTGAATGTGGTGGTTCGGGTAGCTGCAGTGGTTTCTGAATGTGTTTCCCTTAGGGCGTGCATCCCGAAGGTTGTGAAAAGGTGACCTTCTGTGTACCCATCTCCTCCCAGTGTCAGAGAAGAGACGTCCATGTGGAATACGTTGATTTTATGTACAGGTATGAAAGACTGCATCCTTGATTTCCAACTAGGTTTATGTGCACATAGCTACTCAGGGCTCTATTAATGATCTTTCCCAGTAGATAGTAGCTAAACTATTGGGAGATATCTGCATTGAAGCCTTGATTGAATTAACACGGCTGTGACAAATGTGATTGGAATGTTATTGACATGACTGACAACCTCAATCCCTAAACTGTTTCTCTGACTGACATCTGAACTGGTAGGCTATGTCACTCTCCAGAGTGACTGTGAGGTAAAACTGGGGTACACTCTAGAAGCCCATATTTAAGAGGGATTTTTTTTCTTCAGCTTTACTTTTGCATTTGTGTAGGTAAGCGTGGGTACACGTTTATGCAGGTGCATGTGCACATGTGTGTGCATATGTATGTGTGTGTGGAGGCCAGATGTCAACCTTAGATATCATTCCTCATGAACAGTCACCTCGCATTTTGAGACAGGCTCCCTCATTGATCTGTAGCACACTGAGCAGGCCAAGCTGTCTGACCAGCCAGATCAGGGATCTGTCTGTCTCCATCAGGGCTGGGCCTACTAGCATACGACCATGCCTGACTTTTTACCATCCTGGGATTCAAACTCAGGTCCTCACACTTGCCAGGCAAACACTTTACTGACTGAGCTATCATTCCAGGCCCAGGAGGGATTTCTTTTTTTTTAATAAATAATTTATTGAGAATTTCATACATGCATATAAGGTGTTTTGATCAAATCCATGCCCACTCCCTCCCCTCCAACTCCTACCATATCTCCCCATCACTTTTTTCTGATAAC